TTGTTACTAGACCCTGCAACCTTGCATGTTTCTGCAGGTCGGGATGCCACTGGTGATTTTTCTGAACCTCATTCTCCTGGGTATTGAGGCTGCCCGACGTGTGTGGGGAGTTTGCCAAACAGCTCACGGCGTTATGTATGGCTTTTTTGTAGCCTTTCTTTACAGCAACACATTTCGAAACCATCGCCACAGTTGAATGGAGAGAACAGGCCTGAGAAGGTATAAATGCCAAGTGGCATTGTTTGCCTTCTTTCGCCTTGTTAGCATCGCCACAAGCACACCAAGGGACAACTGCTATCTCAAATAAAAAGTATCAGTCCACATGAGACGCTGAACGCACAAGGGTCACATTTCTGGGCCTCCCGTAGCATGTTTCGAGACTAGTTTGGGACGCCAGCATGTAAGTCTGGCCGCTGGCCATGAACGATGCGAAGCTGTGGAAATTGTTTCCCAGAATTAGGGATACTGAGTTCCCTATGAGGATGGTCGTATTTTGGGGTCGATGCTGGGTCCCCTTTTTCAGGAAAACTACCACATGTTATCGCTGGAAAGACAACTCAATTTTCATGCCTGGCTTGTAAGTAAGGCATGGGCCGGCATTGGTGCTCAGCTGGCTGAAAGCTAAGCCTCCTGCAAGAGACTGAACCTCTGCACAGAAAACTTGACTTTGACCGTGGGTTCTCTGTGTTTTCTGAGCCACAAGGTTTCCTTGGATGGCACATTTAAGTCTCTTAGTAGGGTGTTGTGGGGAGCATTTTTCCTTGCGAGGTGGATGCTACGGCGACGTTGCCTTTAGGCGAGGATCCAAGGGAGTTCGCGATACTGAGCCTCGGCGTTACAGCGTCCATAGTTTTCTTGTGCAACTGGCTGAGTAATCGGAATGGTCCTATTACACGAAGATATTGCAATCCTGCTGCTGATTGTTGCTGTTATTTGTGAGAATGTCATGGAAGTTTGTTTTGGTATCAGCTTGCTTGCTGGGAGTCCCCCAAATCAGCGTGTGAATTAATGTTTGGAGGATGCAGGCACTCGAGGAGACTTTGCAAAGTATGAAGGGATGATCCAGAGAAACTGCCCTGTGGGCACCTATCCAAGTTCCGACTCCGGCATAGGCTTCATCGTAGGCAGCGCTATTCAAGTGTGGTCGACGGTGTAGAGTTTGCAGCGCAGGCTCTGCAGATAGGTGTGAAGCGCATGACTATGGGTCTGTAGCCATTTGGACAGTTGCTTGCCGTACATTTGTTCCGGGACCTTCCGGCGGACTGCTGTGTGTATTCAAATGCCTCGTAGCTACGGATGGCAACCCATCCAGCCAGCGTGGAACCCTAAACCCTAAACCCTAAACCCCAATGCCATGCCCAGCTCAACAGGTGCTCAGTCTTACAACATACTCTTTTGCAAGTAGGAGTAGGACCACCAGGGCGGGCAGCGCTGCTTTTGCTCTGTTCCTCCAACTGTTGCCAGCCGGCAGTCTGACTACCTTATGATGGATATGGAGGTTTCACAAGTTACATTTACGGGTACCCCTTAAGGATCGCAATAACATGGATTACATTATTTTGGGGTCTACATGAGGGCCCCCGTTTTTTCGAAACCAGCATGTAGAGCAACCTTCTCAGGCGAGGGGCCTTTTTTGGCGTCGGCAGACCAAAACCCTGAACCCTATACGACCCCTGTATATCCCCAATAACCCTAAACCCTAAACCCAAAAGAGAACCCTAAACCCATTATAACCCCCATGGTGGAAGGAACGGCATCATCGTTGTGATTTTCCTGTTGGAGCTTGGGCTGAAAGTCCTCGCCTTTGGCTGTTGCTCGTCAGGATTCAGGGTTTGCTACAAGTGACAATAATAATCGTAATAGCAGTTGCAATTGTAATAGTAATTGAATATTCATTGTAATAAGAATAGTAGTAATAGTAATTGTAATATTCATTGTAACAATAATAGTAGTTGTAATACTAATAGTAAGGAAGAAGAATTCATGGCTCAGTGGATAAGAAATTTAATGGGGATGTCCTGGAAATGGTACATTCAGCTTAAACCTGGTTTTGAGTACTTACCGATTGCAATCCAGGTCCTTTTCTTGGTCACTACCATCATGAAAAGAGAGCTTAGCCCATCTGCTGACCAATATGGTAGTTTCCCGAAATAGCGGGACCCCAATATAGACCCCAATATACGATAAACCCTTATTATGGGGACCTCCAAAAAGGTACCCCCAATTTTGGAAAACCACCATATGAAGGGGTCCTGGGTTTGTTCGTGCTGCTGTCCCAGAGTTCCAAAAGGCAAGATGAAGCCATTGTAAAGCTACCCCGACTCCCTCAAAGCTTTAAACCAGCCATGCTCCAAAAACTTACATTTTTGCCCAGCAGATAGCTTCATGCGTCTTGAAGAGTACCAAAATTAGGGGTACTTCTTGGGGTCCCTATAAGAAGGTTTTGGAAGATTTGGGGTCTGCATCTTGTACCCTTATCTAAGGCAGGAAACTGCCATGTATGTAACTAGTTACTAAAGCGCATCTATATTTTGGTGTGACATCTCTTGCTTGTTTGCTGGCTGCAGTCCTACCTCCTACCTGAACAAGATTTGTTACTGGTGCTTAATAGGGAATATGGGAAAGTATAATACAGGAGTGATCAGGGATTATCTTCTCATGTTCCCCACCAATCCCCAGTGAGTTTGGCAACTTGTGCATACACTCCTGCATGTACCGCAGGCCGAGAAATCTTCTGCGGATCAGAAAAATGGCCTCTTGGCCGCGCCAGTTGGTATACACCCGAAAAGACGGGAATTCATGCACAGGTTCATCACATGTTGGGTCGAGCTTATGTTATCTTATGTCAGGGGGATGTCTGGGTTGTGAGGGGCGTCTGTGACCCTACTGAATTAGAAATGCCTGCACGGGCATTTCCTCAACAAAGGGGCATACTAGGTCCCCTACGCCCCGACATGCGGGCTATGGGTGGCATGACAGCAGCAGCACAGACAAAAGGCAATGCGATAGGCGGGCAAGTACACCGCTGGGGGTGCCTTCAGAAGGTAGGCAGGTGAGTGCCTGAACGGGCATCGATGTCAGGCGGGCAACCATTCTGCAATGGAATTTCAGCATCTTTCAGCATGGCAGCAGCTGAAGTGCCAGGTGGGCGACTGTGTGGGAATGCGGTTTCAGAGGGACTGTTCCGGAATGGGGTTTCAATGAGAAGCCTGGTTGTAAGAGCTCTGTCAAAATAGAGAAGAGCTTCGAAACAAGAGGATCCAGCGTTTGAGGTTGCGTGGGCCGAATTATCCCCGGAGATTTCAAATTATCTACTATTACGCAGTATTTCAGCGTGCATACAGGGCTTATCTTTTGGGCCGTTTGTGTATGTTCTTGTAGAACCTAGGTGAGCTCAGGTGATGATTTCCAGGATTCCATCGGATATTGCGGCTTCAGGTGAGTATGTTATGTTCCACGACAGCACAAGCTTCGCACAGGGACTATATACCCTAGGGATCCAAGTATAGAAGTAGTACCTACATTGGGCCCAAAAGTCTGTAAATTTTGCCGACGCTGGGCTATTTAGATCCCTAAGCATAAATCTCCTCACCCAGGTGGAACTTGTTTGATTTGTCCATCGTGCTGCTCTCCGTCTTCGAGATGGTTGCAGAGCTCATCATGACTCAAATGCGGCTTAGCTGGTGAATATCACCCACTGGTGCTTCGTAGGGAATAGGGAATACAATCCCTACATTATCCCTATATATCATATTCGCTTCCCTACGAACCACCAGTAAGATATTTTTCCCTGCAAGATGAAAGACAGCCCTCACTATCTGGTTCCCTGGCTTTAATGCAAACTGACGCTCACGTACACTGCAACAGACCTGGAATCTTATCTAGCCAGGTGCTGCAGAAAAATCCATTCAAGGGAAGTGATGAGAGCAAACGTTCGGCTAGCAAGTCGTTGTCAAGCTCAGGGATGCGAATGGGCTATCAAGGGTCGGGATAGAGGCCTGCATATATGCCTATCCATGGTTCACTTTACCCTTGTACTAAACCCCGGCACAAGCCAGCCCTCCGGCTCAACGCCTGGAACTGAAAAGTATAGATCTTCTGCATTCCTCTGCAATTAAGCTCTGGTAGCGCATGTTGACAACAGCCGCGGTCTGCCAAGGGCACCAAACCAGATGGACCCCAGTCATCTTCGCGTCATGCGCTTCCTGGCAGCAAAGAGTACAATCGTTTCGAGTAGGAACTAAAACGCCCAGCAGCATTCACAAGGACAACATTTTGCGACAAACGTGGCGCTGGTAAGACAGCGACGGCAGCCATACTCGACATAGTAGTGCTTCGGGGGCCGGAGAGCTGGGACGTTAAGGTTTGCCGGCTACCTTGCGGGACTTGGGAACAACAAAACGGTCCAAGAGCTTGCCTTGGTTTTTCATTTGAGTCCGTTGAAGAAGGCATGTTACATGGATCCATTGCTTGTGTGATGGGGCTTCACCCACTTGTCCAGCGTACAGCGCACGCGACCGAAAACAGTAGCCCCGTACTTCAGTGAGGAGTATTCTTCCCCAAGCCTATTGACGACTTCCCATATCAAAGAAATCTTCAGCTAGAGGGCTACGCTTTGCGGAGACGTGAGGCTTTCTTCGTTTGATTCGAGCCTTGCGGGGCATACGAGTCATCCGGCTTCTGCGGCACCGCGTCCAAACCAAACTTCATGGTTGGGGCTGGGAGGCCAAAGGTTACTCAATAGATTCTTTTCAGACATGTCATGTGCAGATGCTGAGTTCACTCGCCGGTGCTGCTTGGAAAGAATGAGGGGGTGAACCTGGCAGCTCACTACATAGGGACATGATGTCAATGCCCTGAGGGATTTGGCAGGCGTTACGGCTGAGCTGCTTAGCACAACACTTTGAGACGAAACATTCGACAAGACCTTTCTGGCCACCATACAGACCATACGTGCATTTCTCCCCTGCACCTAAATCGCCGAAAGCGGTCTTGCAACCATGGACTGGAGCGGTGGAATGGAGTCCTACCCATCATCTAATCCAAGCTCTTGGAGCCCCCAGAGGTACATCAGCGCTTTGCGAACCATCGTCTTCTCCATCATCAGTACATTAGGATCAGTCTTTTGGACTTCACTGCTGCTGGTTCTACTCTTCTTCCTGTTCGGCGTGCTGATAGCGCAGATTGCGCCTGGGCCTTCTTCAGAAAAAAAGTATGGTAAGGTCGTGCTGGTGCAGTCAGGTGTTTGTTTACAACCGGCCCTACCTGTTTATCTTAATAGATTTCAAGACATCAGGGTTTTCTAGGGGCAGGCTCCAATTGGTGTTGGAATCCTCCTAGTTAGATCACTGAGTCCTTGCCCAGAATAATTTCATCTCTTCATGAACTGCCTATCTCCAAGCTGACCTCTTAACGTTCATCATACGTTGCCGAGGTCACTGACCACTGCAGGCACTTGGCGTCCCAAGAAAATGTTGTGGATTGCACCAATGATGAGACTAAGCTGCACAGTGCAGTGGTGGTTTTTTCGTTTCAGGCTTGAGTCGGTCCACGCAAGTTTACCGCAACGCCGAGGCAGCCCCTAATTGCAGTAGCAGCTGCCTTGTGGGGTGATGTCAGGAGAAGTTTGGGAAGCTGATGACGTTCTGGTCCAGCGTGCCTGAGAGCATGCTCACGCCCCCAGCTAGCAAGATGGTTCTGTGGGGGAACGGTGGAGGGATCTGGGAAGTAACATGTGGGAGTTTGTCAGCAGAAACCCCCTCGGTGTTCCTGTAAGGCACGCAGCTGTGCAGGATGATCCTTATGTGAAGGTGTTTGAAAGAATTTGGGGTTTCTTGTGAGGAGTTGTCATGGGGGAGACAATTGGGGTCAAAAGGTGTAGCGTGTTAGGGATCAAGGCTTCCAAAACTAGGGATGCCATTTTGGGGAACCCTATATACTATGTATTATTGATTCGATATTGCATTTGGGTATATCATGGGGACTCACGCTCAGAAATGCCCATACGGGTCGAAGATATGCCAGCGATCTTCGGGCACAAGCTGAAAATTGCTTCCAGCCATGTTACAGTACTTGCTCGGGCTCGCGGTGTAGTTGCCGAAGGTCTACATGACCTCCGTACCAGATGCATACACCCTACCGGGAGGTTCACGTTGTATGACACGGCAAGCTATCTATCTATCTATCTATCTATCTATCTGTAGTTCCAAGTTAATAAGATGAGGTATTACCCTCCCCCACCCCCCCCCGAAATAACTACCCCTGCCTGACAGCCCTTATACGCTCCCCAATACGCCACTTACACCTGGGACGTTCTCCAAACAGAAGTTGTTAGGGGCCAGAGGGGTACATGTCGATTACAACGGATTTCAGGGACACTTGCGAGGAATTCGTTCGATGAGGCCCAGTTTGCGGAACACCTAAACCCTAAACCATTTTCCAAGTAAGGCTAATGATGGCTATTACCGGCGGATTGAGCTGGAGCGAAGCTCTAACACCTCTGCGAACTGTTTCAGAGATGGCCTCCCGGCAAGAGAAGGGCGGAAGATGCTTGGGGCTTAGGGTCCTGATTAGGCTTTAGGGTTTGGCTAGGGTTGTAGGGTATTACGGGGCTTGCGGGGGTTTGCGAAGTTTTCTTCTTGGGAGGATCAATGGCCTCACGACGGGTTTGTTTGGAGACCATATGGCTTCCAAGCTATCTCATATATCAATCTTGAGACACAGCCTCAAGATCCTGGGCCGTTATCCTTCCAGCATGCCTGCCAAACGCAAACCCCTGTCATCATGCTCTGTTACTGTTACCCGGTCTAACAAGAAGCGAGTATCAAATTGGCCACGAGACGGCAAGCTATACTACCCTCTCTCAAACGAACATGGAACCCCGAAATGGCCCCAAAAGGATTGCCGTCATTTCAAAAGGAGCTCTTCCGGGTTCTCACTTTATTCTGGTGGGCGGTAAGGGACTGCAAGGGGGATTCCCCACAGACTTTTCAAAGCATCGGTAATACTCCTTTCATGGCTCCGGGCACAGGATTTCATGCAAGGGCGCACTGGCAACAACCATTGTTCACAACAAGCTCTTGTTTCGGAAAATCAGAGAAACTTTCCAGATGCTGCAGGGAGGCGCCCCAAATCCTTTAGGTCATTCCCGTACCCACTTGTAGCGGCACGATGGGAGCACGGTAGAACCCTCATATTGTACATGACATTATCCTTTGTTATCACGTTAGTTGGCGGGTCCTTACTTGAGCAAGTTCTCCCGACAAAAACGCACCTGATGCTGCCGCGCGGTACAGGGCTGGAGTGTTTTAGGCGAGCAGGATCAAGCAACTATGCTATAATATACCATAATATATTATAATCTACTATAACGGTCTTGAAATGTTTGGGATCAGCGTTCAGCAGTTTGAGCGTCTAGCAGGCCGTGCGCTAGACCCGGGTCGTCCAAAATCTCCAACCCCGGTGGTCCCCATCACGTTTCTACTGACGAAGACGTCATGTGGAGTAGGCCCCTTCATTGCAAGCAACATTTGCCTCAAGAAAAATAGCATCAGAAGCTCTCAGGGTCATGTATAACTTGTCTCACATTCTTACTACATACCATTACCCGCATTAAGCAGGCAGCGGTTTCTCACGGACTCTTCATGCTTGTGTCTTAGGCTGTGGTGGGCCTGCTGCTGTACATCGTGATCACAGTGCTGGCTGTTTTAAACGTGGCAAGAGCCTTAGTCCAGTCCAGACGTTCATGCGAGGAGAGGTCATGAAAGTATTTGTGCAGGTTGGATCGGCTTGAGGGATTTGAGGAAATTCTTGCTTCAGATTATTTTTTGGTTCATAATCTTAAGGTATCAGTCTACAAAGAGAAGGTTGTTGCGATGCATCAGATAACTGTTCAGGGGTGATTCGATAGGACGGGTCCCTCAGCCAATTCTCTCGGGTCGTGCGGTCACCTCATAAGATTGGGCCCGTGCATAGGCTCATCTAGTAGATAAGCATCATGGCTCTTTCAACTTTAAACTGTTTGTTGAGGGTGTTGCCAGAGTCCTTGCAAGACAGACCCGGCTTCATGCGCTACCCTTTTCAACCCTCACCTCCAACCTGTTTTGGGACAAATCCCCGGTCTTCGATTGCCCTCTCTGAGGCCTAAAGTGTCCCGAAGGTTTTTTGTTAGTACTGTACCGTATAGAAAGGGTCTTCTCTAATCTTCAGTGAAGTTTCCAAGCCTTGGGTGATCGGTTGTCTCCGTTGAGACATGCTGCAGAAGTATGGCACAGTCTGTCTGCTGAGCAGCAGCCTGAGGCTTCTAAAGCCCTGCATGCTATTAGTATCGTGTTGTTTGTTTGCTTTGTGCTTGGTTGTCTCATGTCATGTTTGTGATGTCTCGTCTTTCAGCGAGGTTCGCAGAAGCTGCTGGTTGCTTTGTACCCTTGATCAAGTGCAGTGAGTCCAAAGGATGTCCTGTTCATTCGGCGGCTGTTGGCAGCACAGCAAAAACTATGGCGCTACGGTACGAAGTTACGACAACGCCGTGCTAATGCATGGAAATGTGACCCTTCAAAGGCAGATGCATGCTTTTTCGTGATGGTAGGTTTGCTTATGCTTGGGATCGTTGTGTTGCTTCTGAGAGACATGAGCTGCGTGATCTGCAAGGTGTTCGTTTCTGGATGTCCGTAAAAGAGACTGTGTCGGAGCGTTGGTCTTGGTGCGGTTGTGAGCCCAGCATGGTTTGGCAAGACGGTGGATGACGCCAGTGATCGCTGCTTTTGGTGCGGTTGTTTGTGTCCCTGGTCCCATGTGGCTTGGTTTTGTCCGCGTAGTGAGTTGTTGGCCGCTCAGCTTCCTGTCCTGGCCGACCTTCTTCATAGGAGGTGGGTGGGTTGCCAAGGGCGAACGGTTGTGCGTGCGTGCCTGCTTGGGCCAAGTGAATGATTGTTTTTGGGCCAAGGGGCAAAGGGATGCGTGATGGCGCGTTTGTTTGTTTGCTTGCTTGGCTGTCATTGTGATGATTCGTTTTTCAGGGAGGGTCGCAACAACCCAGTGTGTGCGGGCCGACCTTGCCCGTACTACAGGGGTCCCGTTGCACATGCTTACACGTGCACGTTGGGAGAGACAGGGCTGGGCGGCTAAGGGTAGCACGCTCATTGGATGGTTGCGGATACTTAAATGGCGGGCAGACATGCTTCTGTTGCGGTAGGAAGGGGATTTCGTTTCCGTTCATGAATCTGTAAGCAAGAACAAGAACCCTTCCTTTACCCCCTTCTGGATTCCCTGCTACCCCAAGGCAAGTCATGAGGAACATTGGAGTAGGATCAATCAAGGTATGTTTTTGTAAAGGATTTGGGGCCGACTTGGGTTTTGTGCAGACCTGCTGTCCACCGAAGCCTTACTGTCGAGGCCCAGGGGGTTCCCGGCCTCCTGGCGCGAGGAGGAAGTCCTTGAGTTCTTCCAAACCCAGCAGTGGCAACATCTCAGCGTCATCACTCACAAGCGACACAAGCGCAGCTTTGTGTGGATTGCTTGAGGCGCGCCAGCTATGCAAGAACAAGGACGTAGATCCTGGATGTTTAATTGTTGATGTTGAGACCCCGGCGGGTTCGCCCGACTTTACTGCTCAGGAAAACGCGGTCCCCGCTTGTAGCAAAGCCCCGCTAGAGCGCTGCGTGGTTACTGGCCCGGAGAAAGCGTGGAGTAAGGGCCCCCCCGGCAAGCCTCATGCCGACAGGGAAGGTAGGACTGCCAAGGTTTTGCGAGACACTGCGAAGCTCGTGATAGGAGCGGTAGTAACCATAGCCGTGGTGACAAGGAGGAGCATGATTGTTCTGTACCGCCTAATGAAGACAATGACCTTGATATTGATTTTCCGGAAGACGTCGAAGGATTGCTGCCGTATAACCAAGGGAGAGGGCGATTGCGGCTACCGAGCGGTGGCTGAAGCACAGTACTGGCACAAGCATGGGGAGCATATGCCAGGTGAAACTTGTTGTCGTGAGGCCACATGGCTGCTGCTTTCGCAAGTTGTGAATTTTGTCAAGACATCAAGCCGCGATGTTAGCCCTGACCAGGCAACCCCAGATGTTCAACAGCAGACTCAGGACTGACTAGCCCATGCCGGGAAGCCGGGCACTTGGATAGTTGCAGTGGCCTTATAGGCCCTCGCGCAGAAATTGTGACCGCCATCATTGTTTGGAAAAGGGATAGGGGTCGTGTCAAGTGGCACGCCCTTGCCCCCAAGTTCTCCAAGGGGTTTGCGTGTGGAACTTGGGGATGTATGCCGGTCACATTGCTGCGGGAGAGTGGGCATTATTGTTTCCTATGCCCCGCTGGTAGGCATACCAAAATCCCTGCAGTAATGAGGCTCTGAGGGGTGCAGGCAAGAGCAGCGCAAGCCAAACTTCGTACAGGCCCTGATAGTGGAAGGAGATCGGGTTTGCCGCTTGGCAAACAGGCTTACCTACAGGATTGGCACCAGGATTTGAAACGTCTTGATCTTGAGGCCATACATAAGTGGGTTTTCTCGAGGCCTCCAACTAGAAGTGTCGCTTTGCTGTCTGTGGCTTCACCTGCGTGGCAAGTTCCCTCACCAGCGTGGCAAGTTCCTGGAAGTACGGATCGCTGCTTGCGGGGCTGTGGAGCCCTAGGATCTTGGGACCATATCTGTTGGATGAGCCTCGAAGACCTTCCCATGTTCCTAAACCCCCCACCCCTGTCTCATCCCGGTTAGGGTGGAATCTTGATAAAAGTAGGAGGGGCCGCTCTCAAGCTGCTAGTGTGCAGGAGTGTGCTAAGGTTGTTCAGGAGATTTGGAGCAGCAGGCACTCGTAAAAGCTGTTGTTGACACAGAACTGGCACTAAGGATGTCCCTTGGCTAGCCGGCGCTCAGCTGTGAGCCTGGCTCAGCTAAGGATTTGGGGTTCTCATGGAGGGCCTCTTTACTGGTGGCGTCGCTTGTCGGCGACTACCTCTACAAAGCAACACACACGCCGTGCTCTGGTCACAGAGTCCTGTTCACGAGTTGCGCAAGTGGATGAGGAGAAGGGGGTGGGCAGAGCATGCCCCTTGGAGGTGGATGCGTGATGGTTCGACAAACGCGCGGCAACGTGAATCTACATAGACTGATGCATGTTTTCCGTGATGGCTGGCGTGCTTGGGTTTGGGGTCATTTTGTTGATTCCGAGAGGCACGAGCTTTGTGATCTGCAAGGCGTACGTGTCCAGGATGTCCTCAAGAGGGATTGGGACGGTATTCGCCGTTTCATGCAGAAGGCCGCTTGCCTGAGTGTTGGCCTTGGCGCGGTCGTGAGTCCTGCTTGGTTTGGCAAGGTGGTTGATGACGCCAGCGATCGTTGCTTTTGGTGCGGTTGTCTGGGTTCCCGCTCGCATGTTGTCTGGCTTTGTCCGCGTACTGAGTTGCTGAATGCCCGGCCTCCTATCCCGGCCGGCCTTCTCCATAGGAGGTTTGGGTGGGTTGCCAATGCGAGAGGTCTTGCGTGCTTCCCTACTTGGGCCAAGTGAATAGTTATATCTGGGCCAAAAGGTATAAGGATGTGTGTGCCTGCTTGTTTGCTTGTCTGGTTGCCATGATTGTGATGTCTCGTCTTTGCAGTGAAGGTCGCAACCTCCGCTGGTTGCCCAGTGCCCTTTATTGTTTGCAGCGAGTCCAAAAGGGTGCCCTGTCCGTTTGGGAACAAACCTAGTTAGTCAGCCGTGCTCATCTACTTCAACAAAGCAACACACGGCCGTGCTCAGTGTGTGTGGAAAGCATGGTGGAGGTCGTAACTTGGTCGTGTCGGTCGTGCTTGCTTGGTTGCTTTTTGTCATGGCTTCATTCTGCTTGCCCAGACTTTGGTGTCTGGTGTTGGTGGCATGTGTCCATGCGTATGGCCTTTTTTTTTAGGTCCCTTGCCGCTCGCCCAGGCTCCTCCGTGCCTGGTGTGTGTGCGTAAGTGCCTCCTGTCGGCTTGTCTCTTGCCTTGGTCCTGTTCCAAGCTTGGCTTGGTTGTTCTTTGTTTTCCAGGCTGGTTGACCACATGAGCTGTTTAGTGTCGCCTTTTGCTTTACTGCAGGCTGCACTTTTGCACTCATGTCACATGGCTGCCCCTCTTTTTGTTTTGAGGGGGGCTCTCAGAGGTGTCCTGTCCATTTGGGGGCTGCCGGCACCGGAACAAAGTTAGTTAGTTAGCCGTGCTCGGGACTTTGTGCCCTACCTCTTTCCTGCCGTACCTGTACACCCTGGTGTATGTGTCCGGCAATTCTTGTGAAAAGCCGTGCTCAGGTCACAGGGGTGTTCTGCAACATGGCTATAGAATCAGCGCGAGCAGACAAGGAGAGTGCCAGCTTCAAGGTCATGGTAAAGCATTTCAGTCACATTACATGTTGCAAGTGGACTGTGCATGCAGAAAAGGAACGCCCTCTGGATTGCACAGCACAATCAAGATTTTGAGTGCTTGCGAACTAATTTTTTAGATGCTCCACATGTCAGCGTTCATGCGAGGGTTAGCAATGTAGTGTTGCATGGTAGGGTTTGCAGCCAACTTGTCCCGAGGCAAGCAACTTGACAAACAAAACAGGCCCCCCGCATCTTATTGTCATGCGAAGGGTGGCCCCGGTGCAAAGTTCATGTTTCAGCGAACCCACGCGCATCCAGCCTCACATTCCCAGCATGTTTCGAATATCTGCAGGATATTGCCATCATGCAGCAGATTCATAAACATGAGGCG